CCATGCCTATTTTACCTTTGGCATATGCAGTTTTCTTTTATTTCACAATAGTATGGGAGTTTTTCACTATATATTCTGATTTGTAAAATGTTTCAGTATAAACCATGCATGAATTACCAATGCCTAGAAAATGAAAAAATTAGCAAAAATAAAAAAAGCAAAGCAAATGGCCAATAAGTGCAAGCAAAGTTGTTCAATGTCATCATTTGGGAAATACAAATCAAACCCACAATGCGATCTCACTCCACACCCACCATGATGGCTATAAGCAAAAGATGGATGATAACAAGTGTTGGTGAGAATGTGGAGAAATTATAGCCCTTATACACTGCTGATGAAAATGTAAAATGGAGCAGCTTCCCTGGAAAATAGTTTGGCTGTTCCTCAAAATGTTAAACATGGAGTTACCATATGTCCCAGAAATTCCACTCCTAGGTGTACACCCAAGAGAAATAAAAACACATGTCCACACAAAAACATGTGCATGAACATTCATAGCAGAATTATTCCTAATAGCCAAGAAGTGAAAACAATTCAAATGTCCATCAACAATGAACAGATAGCAGGGCATGGTGGTGCACACCTGTAATCACAGTTACTCTGGAGGCTGAGGCAGAAGGATTGCTAGAGCCCAGGAGTTTGAGATAAGACTAGGCAACACAGCAAAACTCTCGCCTCAAAAAACCACAATGAATAGATAAACAAAATGGAGTATATTCATATAATGGAATATTATTTAGCCACGAGAAGAAATGAGGTTGACACACACTACAATATGGATGAACTTTGAAAACATTATACTAAGTGAAAGAAGCCTGTAGCAGAAGGCCACATATATTATTCTACTTATATGAAATGTCCATATAGACAGAAAGAAGATTAGTGATTTCCAGGGGCTGTGGAGAGAAGGAAATTGGGAATGACTACCAATGAGCATGGGATTTTTGTGGAGCAGGTGATGAAATGTTCTGGAATTAGATACTGGTGATCAATGCACAACTCAGGAATATCCTTAAAGCCACTTTTATACTTAAAAAGGGTGAACTTTATGGTATGTGAATTATATCTCAATAAAGCTGTAATACAAAATGGGGTACAAAATTCAAAAACAACATAATCACAAATACAGTGAGGAATATGCCAAGTCTTAACTAGCTGTGTAACCTTGAACAAGTTATTTATTTCCATCACAGTTTTGTCACCTACCTAATGAGGATAACGATACTACATACTCCATAAGGTCATTTAATGATTAAATGAGTTAATACATGTCAACCTTTTGGAAGACAGTTTATCACACAGTAAATGTTAGCAATTAACAAATGTAATTTGTATGGCTGAAGAACACTCTGATATGGTTACTTTCCCCAAGTATCACTCCAATCAGTCCAGATTCAACTCAGAGAAAAGATGGAAGGCAACCTCCCCCGTGGAGAGGTGTCACAGAGCTGTAGAATGGCCATAGTAGGAAAACAAATTTTATGAATAAGATATAAATAATTACTAAATGCTCATCTTCATAAAAATAGATGGAACCTAATTAATTAAATTGAACTCAGTGAAAAATAAGAAAGAAAAACCACTTCCATGTGTCGGGAAGGTGATATAAATATTTTATTTTATTATGATCTTATAAATCAATCAAGGCAAGCATATACTTTAATGATCAAGGTAAGACTTTATAGTAGAAGGGCAATTAAAAAACAACTAACAAAGATGAATTATTGCTCCATTGGGATGATTGGAAATCCAACTGCCTAGTCAGCTTTTGCTCAGAAAGGTTTCCGTTGCCCGGGATCTTTCAGAAAGGAGGTGTCTGCAATGGAATCTTTTTTTTTTTTTTTTTTTTTTTGAGACAGAGTCTCACTGTGTTGCCTGGCTAGAGTGCCGTGGCGTCAGCCTAGCTCACGGCAACCTCAAACTCCTGGGCTCAAGCGATCTTTCTGCCTCCGCCTCCCGAGTATCTGGGACTACAGGCATGAGCCACCATGCCCGGCTAGTTTTTTCTATATAGTTTTAGTTGTCCAGATCATTTCTTTCTATTTTTAGTAGAGATGGGGTCTTGCTCTTGCTCAGGCTGGTTTCGAACTCCTGAGCTCAAACAATCTGCCCGCCTCAGCTTCCCAGAGTGCTAGGATTACAGGCGTGAGCCACCGCGCCCGGCCTGCAATGGAATCTTTGAGATAACTGAAGCTTCCTTCTTTGACTGGCAACATTAGGGTAGAAACATTTCTAAAACTCTGAAGTCTTAACACATTCTTCTCCCTTCCACCCAGGTTTTAGTTTCACCTTCCTCTGGTGACTTTGCTAGCACACTGTCAGCAGCTGTCTGCACCTGTGCCCCGTGGCTGTTCACTGGCTCCACCACGGACACTGAGGTTCACGAGGTTCCAGAGAAGTGGGGTACTATGGATGCACTAAGTGCCTGGTCCATCATTCATTTTAAAGAACTGTAATCTTTATAAGGCTCCAGATTCTCATTTTCCTCTACACTGGACAACAAATTTTCATAAGATAGGTATTTTAAAAATTCTTCTTCTTCTTCATTTTTGTATCCCTGGCTCAGAGCGCAGGGCCTGACATACAGTGACCGGGTGAGGAGTGAATGCATGGGAATGTTTGGCGCATGCCTTTCTGTGGTGAGTGTGAGGGCATATAATCCTGCTCTACGTCAGAAAGTTGTAAGGGTGTTAACAGCAAATGTAAAGTTAGCAGAAGCCCAACCAACAATTCCTTCTCTCCTTCCTCCACGAAGTTTTTCCTCTTGCCACCAGCTGCGAGTGAGCCTACTTCACTATGTCTGAGACACTTCCCACATTTCGGCTCTGTCAGGAAGTGTACCCCAGGACCACCTTTCAGGAGACACTTGCTCCCCCAGCTGCAGGAAGTGTTTTTCTGAAGGATCATGCCATGTTGGAGTCCCTTGCCAGGAATTTCCTCCACCGAAGGGAGATATCTCAGTCAAAGTTATGGCATCTCCCTGGGGGTTAGTTTGCATCCGGTGACTGTTCAGTGAGGGGTTCCAAGACCTGAACTCACTTCAGAACAACTCTGGAGCATCATTTCAGCCCCAGAGCTCTCAGTGGAATTGACAAGGCCTTTTGTGTGTGTGTAGCTGCAGCTCAATCCTCCTCCTCTCCCTACCCCCTGCTGCCTTCCTCTCTTACTAGTCTTTTCCTCAAGAACACTGCTCAATAAACTCCCCTGCACACAATTTTCTGAGGCTGTTTCCCCAAGGAGCCAACTTCAGACAGTAAGACACCAGCGTGGACAACCTTTAGCAGCCGTCTCATCAGGTAGTCAGTGCTCAGTCAATGTCAATCACATGAACGGACTCCTCTTGCACCCACCTTTCTTGTTATGATGACGACAGGTGAGTAAGACACCCAGCAGAGTTAGACAGAAGCCATGAGTTGCTGGGGAAATGGATGCTACATCATCCTCAAACCTAATCAGCAACACACTCCCCAAGCTCTTGGGCCATGGAACACTTGTGTGGGCAACCAAAGTGAACCCCTGTAGCTAGTAGAGATGACACTCCCCACCAAAATGAGGGATCTATCTCCTCTCCCTTGAGTCTGGGAGGAGGGACCTGTGAATGCTTTGAGCAATAGAAGATGACAGAAGTGAGGCTGTGTCACTTTCCCGAGCCTGTCTTTTAGAATTCTCTCTCTGGGATTCCTGAGCTGCCAGGCAAGAAGGCCTACTCCCTGAGACCGCCACACGTAGGCACCCTGATGGATGCTCCCTGACAAGCCAACCTTCTACCCATTCTCTGCCCCCAAATTGCCAAGCACGTGAGTGAAGCTGCCTTGGACGGTCCCAGATGCATCGATACACCATCTGAATACCACCTAGTGACCACCGTCACCCTCACACAGAAAGAAGAATCACCAGCTAGGATCTCAACAAATTCCTGATCCACAAAATCATGATAGAACAGAATGGTTATTATTTTAATTTGCTATATAACAATAGATAACCAGAAGAACCCCATCCTGGAATACCCTCAACACCTCCTTCTAATTTTCTATGGCCACCATACTTACCCTAGGGTTCTTCTTCTGGCTTCTCAAGCTAGGGATCTATTTCGAGGTCTGCTCATTGCACAATTGCTACTCAGAGTTCTGAGTTTATGTGGCTCCATGGACTGTTCCTTCTAAATGCCCATCACTGTTATGGAAGCTGCAGCTACAATGTGAATATCAAAGATCTTACCCTACTTCCTACTCTCAAAAAAAAAAAAACCAAAAAAAAAAACAATGCAAAAAAACCCCACAAACAAACAAACAAACAAAACCCACAGAAACAAAACATTTCAATAAAAGATAAGTCAAGGAGCCATAGCTCAGTCAGTGTTCAAAGATTCTGAATGATCTCCAAGTCTGGACTCCGTGAGAGAAAGAAGAAAGCTAAGATGGTTGAGTCCTTACTGTGTGCAAATACCAAGAATTTACATGCACGATCACAATTTTCACATTGTTGAGTCCTTACTGTGTGCAAATACCATAAATTTACATGCACGATCACGATATTCAAGGTATCCCTGTGAGGTGGGTATTATTAGCCTCTGCTCACCAATAAGGACACAGAGGTGTGGAGAGGGTTAAGTAAGCTGCTCAAGGTTTCACAGCCAGTAAAGGATGGGAGAGAAAGGGGGGAAGAGGGCAGCGATTCAAACTCAGATATGTCCGTGTGAGGTCAAACAAAGCCTGGGAGAAGGAGTAAGAATTTCAGGCTGTTACTGTTGCCCATACAAGAGGAAAACATTGCAATCACCAATGAGGTGGAAGACTTTTACGACTAATTCAAACTAGCAGCTGTATGCAGTGTGAATGCTTACTCTTAGACTCAACATTTTTCTATGTCAGTGAGGTTACTGGCACTTTACTTGGAATCTTACAACTAGGGATGTCGTTAAACAGGTGGATTTATTAAGCAGAAAAAGTATTGGACCCCATTGTTACATATACATCAAATATGTAAAAATATTTACGTACCTACGCAGGTGTGGCCGTTGGAGTGGGTGGTGCCCAGCTGGTCGCGGTAGGCTGGAGAAGCTGAGGAGTGCAGGGGCAAGAGGAAGAATAGAGGAGCGGCCATAAGGATTTTCCAGGGGAGCTTCATCTCTGAGCTGTGCACCACGGGAGATCTCCTGGCTCCAGAAGCTGCCGGCTAAGGAATGCTCGAACTGAGGCCACAGAGTCAGTCGGTCTCTCTGCCCTTCCCTTCCTCTCTCTGGCACATACACCCCACACTCTCACATACACGCTCTTCAATAAGTGTGACACGAATAAAAACACTCACACTCACAGACCCACAGCTCGCAATTGTGGGACCCCTGAGAGAGCCACACGGGGCAGAGTCTGGGAAGAACTGGAGGGACTCCCTGGTGTGCAGTTCTTCTGAGCCAAAACCTGCAGGAAAAAGAAAAACCTAGGCTGCACGGTGACAGCAACAGGCACTTTATTCTACGCTGCCTGAAATCAGTGACCGTAAACCACAAGCTTTGAGGCTCGCCGGAACTGTTCTGTTGGGTTGGTTAGGAGGCCCTTCCCCTTTCATTCTTGCAAAACAAAGCTAAATTAAAACTAGAACTGAAGCAGAAAAAAAAAAAAACAAAAACTTAACTGTAAACACACAACCCTTTAGCAATTTGACCAGCAGCACCTACATATTGTAGAAATTATAACTTGTTACATTCAGAAGTTATATAGCTTTGTTTTAAACAGCTTTATATGGGCTCTTTATTTTGTTGTTAAAGAATATTCTGGTCAAGTAGCATCTTTTCTCTGGAGAAGCTGGATTATTCCTTGAAGGGTCAAGTGTTCTCAAGGCCTTTCATGTGGTGTGTAGAAAATGAGCCGTGCAGAAAATAATGAGCAGTCGGCAAGGCTGGATTTTAGATCTAATGAGAAAAAAGATGAGTTAGAATCAGCCAATTCATATTTACTTGGCTGTGTGTGATGCATCTTTTTTCTACAGAATTTCAAAGTGTGTTTATATTTCCTGCCTGTGGATGATTTGTTCATTGTGCAGAGACTGATTTTCTGCTTTGAAGATGAGAATTGAGCACTGTTTTTCTGGAAAAAAAATTAATCCGAACCAGCTCCTAGATAAAGAAAGACCTACAATGCTTTGTTCTAAAATAGGATACAGCCAAGTCATATGCCATCTCAGACGAGATAAGAAGACGGGGCCAAAGAACTACAGCCTAGATAAGTGTGGGGAGTCATGCGGTTCTTTTTCTCTCTGCTTAGGCTCTGAGGAAAGCTAATTGCAAACTTTGAAATATTATGGAGCTTATTTAAACAGGTAACAATTTTTTAAAAAATAGCATTTTAAGTAGCAGGTAGAATTTTAAAGTTATATCCTTTCTAGGGTGTAGGAAATACCAATTTTTATGGTTTGAAGAGTTTTTGTGTAGGTATTCATCTTACAAATGCCAATGGGGCTGAAATTCCCAAACCTAGCACAAATCGGTGTTTCCCTAATTATGTCCCCAGAACAGGTTGGGCCATGAATGCCGTGGATATCTTTGGGTGTCCTTGGTCACCTGTGGTCCCCTGTGACCTCCTCTGAGGCTGAGGTGCTGCTGCTTAAGGTCCCTGACCCTGTAATCGAGGGAAGTTTTAGAGGTCACTAGGACCACCACAGGGGTGTGGTCCAGAGAATTTCCAGAGACTTCCTGGGGAGGCAGCATAATGGACTGATTAAGAACAGATTGCGAGGACAGAAAGGCCCATATTGAAACCTTGTATCTATCGTTTATTTCTGAGTAGTATATTAGGCCAGTGATGTAACCTTTCTCCCTTCAGTTCTTCATTTATATTGGGATAATGGTGATATCTGCCTCAGAGAGCTGCTGGAGGGACTCACATAAATGATGTATCCAAAGTACAAGAAGTAAGTATTTAGTAAATCAAAGCTTGGTGAGAGTGTGATGAAACTTGCACTCCAAATCAGCTTTAAGAGAATTTTAAGACACCCGTGGCAGTTGCAGGCCAGGATGTAATACATGGGAAATGGCGTGGACAGGAAGAGGCAGCATTTATGAAACACCTTCTAGGTGCCGTGCAGCATTCCAGAAGTGCACGGTCTAGTTTGTCTAACCCAGAGATTGATGAGGAATCTTCTGAGGGCTTCTGGAAGAGAGTTTAGCACAGGCTCTGGGCCTCCTGAGACTCTCCTGGTCTAGATGAATGGCTGTGAACAGGTTGGGAATCTCTTACGGTGAGAGGAATTTCTTGGTGTAAGGCTGTGTGCAAGTTCTATGCCCTCCATCGTGTGTATGTGGCCAGGCAGTTCCACCCACAGCCATCCCAAGGATGGTGAGCCTGAAACGGCCAGGTGTGCTCAGGCTGCAGGGCTGGCCACAGTGTGCGGCACTGACCCAGCTGTGTGGCACTGAGCAAGTCCCTTCCTAGTTCCAGAGGTGAGATTCTTCAACTGGAAAAGGGAGATGAGAGACAATCTACATGGTCATACCAAACACATAGCAGGTTTTTAATAAATAGAAACAATTTCACACTTGAAGGGTGAGTTCTTACTGTGCAAGATCAAAAGAAGAACACAGAAATCAGGAAATAATTTTTGCCAACCGATGCTGAAACAAAGTGCATGTGTGCTTACACCACAAAACAAAACCTCCCTCCCTGTCGCTGAGGTGGCACAGGCGTCCCTCGGACTAGCTGGTATCATTGCATCTGACAGGGCTGCCTTTGTTCATTGAGTACTGAGTGCAAATGACTTAGGATCTCTGAACAACTTGCCGAAAGGCTTGGCCCTACCTGTACCATGGTCTAGTCACACCCTCTACAATGTCCCTACAGGATCCCTGCCGTCAGACACTCCAATTTTGATTGCCTCAAAATCTGCTCTTGAGAATGAGATTCCCTCCTTAACGTACTTTGTTACTTACTTCACTCAGAGAGCTCAGATTCAAACCACAGCCTTCCTCTCTGCCACAGGAGGCTGACGGCTTAGGATCCCCAGACGTTGCACTTGTGGTTCCGGCTTGTTCAGTACGAATGTGCTTCTTGAATATTTTTTGACCTGCATTGAGATCAACCATTTCATTCACAGCAAGTTCATTAATCAGAAAAAAATAAAAATAAAGACCAGGGTGATGGAAAATCCTGTAAAAGCTGGCACTATCACCAAGGTGCCTCTTGTCTTTGGCTTTCTCCTCTTTCTGAAGTCCAGGTCTATGCTGCCCTCTCTTTGCTCCCGGCTGTCCAGGGTTGTCTACGGCGCTCTTCCATTCCCAGACTTTTTGCTGACCCTGTCCTCCCCAGTAAGAGCTTATTAATTCTGGTCCCTCTCTATTCTGTCTCTGCTCTCTGCTAATGAAATGGTAAGCTAATCTATACCTAAGATGCACGCTGACTAATTAAAAGAGCTCTGGGCTCAGGATGGGGGTGACCTAGATCATGGCTTCACCCTTTAGTAGCTGTGTGCCCTTGGGTGAGCTGCTCCACCTTTCTGAATACCGGCTCATTTAACTATAAAATGGGATATATAATGCCAATATTAAAAGATAATTGTGGAGATTAAAGACACAATGCGAGTGCAAAAAACCTAGCAGCAACTGTTAGATAAATTTAAAGCTAACAAGGAATTAACATTATCCTTCTCAAGTAATGTTCAACTATTTTTGAAATGCCTCTAAATAGAGATTTGAAAATTGATTCATAATAATTTTACACATTTATGGGGTATATGTGATATTTGGATGTATGCATACAGTGTGTAATGATAAAATCAGGGTAAATGGAACATCCATCACCTCAAACATTTATCATTTCTTGTGATGGGAACATTCCAAATCTTCTAGTTATTTTGAAATATACAGTAAGTTATTTTTTTAAAACTATCATCACCCTACTGTGCTCTTGAACACTAAGACTTATTCTTTCTACCTACCTGCATTTCTGTGCCCATTAATCACCCTCTCCATCCCTTGTCTCCCCTTCACAGCTTCTGGTAACTATCATTCTACTGGCTGTCTCCATGAGATCAACTTTTGTAGCTCCCACATGTGAATGAGAACATGAGATATTTGTCTTTCTATGCCTGACTTATTTCATTTAATATAATGACCTCCAGTTCCATTTATATTGCTGCAAATGACAGGATTTCATTCTTTTTATGGCTAAATAGTATTCCATTGCATGTCTGTACCACATTTTCTTTATTCATTCATTCATTGATGAACACAGGATGATTTCATAACTTGGCTATTGTAATAGTGCTTCAATAAACATGGGACATCTCTTCAATATATTGAATTCCTTTTTTTTGGATATATACCTAGCAGGGGAATTGCTGGATCACGTGGTAGATCTCCTTTTAGTTTTTTGAGAAAATTCCATACTGTTTTCTATAGCGATTGTACTAATTTATATTCCCACTAACAGTGTACTAGTGTTCCAGTCTCTCTGCATCCTTGTCAGCATCTGTTATTTTTGTTTTTGATAATAACCATTTTAATTAGGATGAGATTATATCTCATTGTGACTTTGATTTGCATTTCCTTTATAACTAGTGATGTTGAACATTTTTTAATATACTTTTTGACCATTTTTATGACTTTTTTTGAGAAATATTTATTCAGATCATTTGCCCATTTCTGAACTGAATTATTTGTTTTTTGCTATTGAGTGGTTTGAATTCCCTGTATATTTGGTTATTAATCCCTTCTTGGATGGGTAGTTTGCAAATATTTTCTCCCATTTTGTAGGTTGTCTCTTCCCTCTCTTATTTCCTTTGCTGTGCGGAAGCTTTTTAGCTTGATGTAATGCCATTTGCCTATTTTTGTTGTTTGTGCTTTTGAGGTCTTACTGAAAAAGTCTTTGTCCAGACCAATGTCCTGAAGCATTTCTCCAATGTTTTCTTTCAGTAGTTTCATAGTTTCAGGTCTTAGATATATGTCTTTAATCCATTTTGACTTGATTTTTGTTTGTGGCAAGAGGTAAGGATGTAGTTTCATTCTTCTGCATATGGATATCCAGTTTTCCCAGCATTATTTACTGAAGAGACTGTCTTTTCCCCACTGTATGTTCTTGGCTCCTTTGTGAAAGATAAGTTCACTATAGATGTGTGGATATATTTCTGAGTCCTCTATTCTGTTCCATTGGTCTATGTGTCTGTTTTTTATGCCAGTACCATGCTGTTTTGGTTACTACGGCTCTGTAGTATAATTTGAAGTCAGGTAATGTGATGCCTCCAGCTTTGTTCATTTTGTTCAAGATGGCTTTGGCTATTCTGGGTCTTTTGTGGTTCCATATAAATTTTAGGATTATTTTTTCTATTTCTGTGAAGAATGGCATTAGTATTTTTATGGGGATTACATTGAATCTGTAGATTGCTTTGGATAGTATGGACATTTTAACAATATTAATTCTTCTAATCCATGACCATGGAATATCTTTCCTTTTTTTGTATGTCCTCTTCAGTTCTTTTTT